GTAAAAATTTAATATTTTTTTGCGAAAAAAACATAAAATATTTTTAACACATTTTTTTCATGTCATATTTTAACTATCAGCCAATGGTATGCTAAAATATCAATTTTAACCAATAAGGCAGTCACACTTTTCCTATTAAAATTTTACACATGGTCATTGAACATTCTACATTTTTGAGAAAAGGCAGGCTTAAAACAACCAATGGCACTCAAATTAACCATTTATAAGGCATAATTTAATAGTATGCTGAATATTATAGTGTCTTAGCACATAATATTAGCCTCGTATGAATGTATACACTAAGCTTTCTAGTTCCGTTCTAGTTAAAAAAATATTTTTTCTAAATAATTAGAATATAAATTTCTTAAGCAAAATAAGAGCAAAAGTTATAAATTCCCAATTGCAGCAACTTAACATTCGGATTAGTTTTTTGCAATATTTATATTAACTCAAATCAAACCAATGGTTTTTAAAGTAGCAGTTTTCCCTTGAACTACTGAAATACATTTTCCAACAAATAAATTACTATTAAAATTAGTTTCATAAATATAAACCAAATTATTTTAATTTAATGCATAAGATTTAAGATGAGCAAAAAATAAAAATGCACAGAAGCGTTAACATAACAGTTGACTTAGACGGTTATAAAAAGCCAGAAGCCACATTGAGCCAGAATCAGAATTTAAAAAATGTTTCTAAACGAACAGACGGAGTAAATCTAATAGGAACTTTTTTCCAATTTTTTTTGGAGAAAAAATAGAAAGGCTATGACAAGTCTGTGATAAGGCAAAATAATTTTTAATGTATAAATCGTATTGTAACTGCCATAGTATAGAAGTAATAGTATGTATGTAATCATTGATAAAAAATGAAAAATGATAATGTTTGTATCTCACGCTTATAGCGACGATGTACGTACCTCACATCTTCCTTTCTTAGCGTTACAAACGTAATACTCAATTAATAAACTACTTCAAATATTCATTTGTATACTGGTTTTTAATAATTGCGGCAAATATTTCTCATTTTTTCCAAAGCCTTTGTAATTTTTGTTTTTAACTAACGAGTTTACATTTATTATACAAAATAAATATAAAAAAATCATAATTGACTCTAATGGAGTAATCTGATTTTAATTAAATTTTTATTAAAAAACAAGTTTTTCCAATATTTCTCTACATATTTTTTCAAGGAGGAAAAAAAAGTTAAAATATTTTCAATAAAATTTCCAATTTATCATATTTTTTTTTATTACTGCACGAGTTTTTATCTCAATTTTTCTTTACAAATGCCATAAAATATAAAATATGGAATTTGAATGTTTTTAACTTTAATATTTTTTAAATTGAAATTAAAAAAATCCTCTATTTTTCCTGTTTTCAAAGGAAAATTTTAAATACAAAAAAAATTATTATTATTTTCAATACTTTTTTATGAGTTATTAAAGTATATACAGGGTGATTCAGTAAAGAGTACACTATTATATATATCATTGATTGGGACATCAAAAATTGGTAAAATTTTTATCTGGAACTAATGTTAACCGACTAAAACCGTTTAGTTTTAGAGATATAGAAATTTTACCGAATTTTCACAAAAATTTTACTATCCCAATCATTTTTTGCTTATAATGAAAATAATATAAGGTTTTTGCTTGAATTTTGAAAATAATATAAGGTTCATACAAATAATTTTTGAAATTATCTGTAAAGGGTCTTGTATTTTGTCTTTACTAACCCGACAATTTTGAACGAAATGTTTTGAAACTTTCATATTTCTTTTTACAGAATTTTGTCCAGTTACTGAATGACCCTATACTCTAAATGAATCCCGCTGTACACTATAATCTCGCGTTATCTTCAGAGTTTTATTTATAGAAAATTTTCATTTGAAGTGACAAAAAAAACGTTTCATAAAATTTTAAAATTTTAAAAATATTTATTTCAAATGAAAATTTAGTTGTTTCAACAAAACTTCATGTTGAGATTTCCTTGAAAAAACTATTCTTGATCAGTAAAATATTTTTGTTTTTGAGTTAAAGCAAAACAACCTTAACTAATTTTTTCGATATGAATTTTTTAAATCTTTAATACAATTAATTTTTCTAGCATCATTAAATTTTCCAAATGATGCGGTTTTCATTAAATAAAAAATTCTAAATTTAACAAGAAACAGAAAACAAAATAATAAATTCGTATATAGATATAATTGCATATTTTTTGGGGCTGTAACCTATTATGTAACACACAATATTTACAATACTTCCGTTTTATAACCCCTTCATTTAAAAAAATACACATAATTAAATAAATATCTCAATCATTGCCATAGCAGACGAAGAAAATTTGTTCCTTTAACATGTGAACATTTTCGCAGACAATGCGCTGCTAAATTCAAGAATTTCTAAGACTTTTTCAATATCTTTAATATAAAATTTCAATTACTTATTTATATCTCTTCATATAACATTGAAACTAGCCGAATTAACCGAATTATTGACTGAGTATGGAGTTAAAATTTACAATCAGTTTTTCATCTACCAAATTAAACGTAGGCCATTGTAGCGTGTAAAAGTAGTCTCTTTTAATATAAAACACTTAAGTGGACACAGAAATTATTGAAAAGAACATTAATTATAAATGACTTTTTAATATGTCCTTAAAATTGTTTGTGAAAATTCTACCTGTCGCAATATTTAATATTTTTTATTCCAGTTAGGAATAACGATTTCCCTTGGTTTATTTAATATTTTCATTTTCAATTTACATAATGACGTAAGGTACACCATAATCAAATATTAGCTTTGAAAACATTTTCAAAAAAAAAGTAAGAAAAATGAAGAATTTTGTAAAACAAGAAACTAAAAATTGAAAAACTTCTTCAGGGAAAAAATAAATAAATAAAACGTGAAAGAAAAATTATTTCTGGAATTAAAAGATAATCGAATTAAGAAACGTTTGGCACGCTTTTAAAAAAAAACTTTTTAATATTAAAAAAAACTTTAAAAAAATTTTTATTGAAAATGTTTAAAGAATTATTAACAATATCCTTTAAGGATTACAAACTTTACAAATATTTCATTTAAATTTCCATTATTAAGTTTGAGAATGAGTTTTTTATAAAAACAGAAAAAGAAAATTTTTATAAAAATAAAATTGTTTTAACAAGTTTTCCATAACAATTTGTTTTTTCCTTACCGAGTTTTCTAAATTAACAAAAGCATAAATTTTTTGTGTCTCTTAATTTAATTCAAATTAAGCTTGTATTTAAAGGTCAACCATAAAAAATTTTATTAATTTAAGAACCGTATAACTGAATATCCTTTTATTTATAATTATTTAGTCCTTTATAATTATTAAGTTTGAACACGAGCTTTAGTAAAATATTTTGTCATCAAATAATTTTACTAAAATATTAATGAAATAAAATTTCATATAAATTTAAAAATTAACACAAAAACTCCACACCGCACTGAAATTTATTTGAAAAACCAAAATATTAAATGACTGGAACACAAAATATTTAAATGAAAAAAGAAAATACCATAAAAATGGCCTGGAATTCTAAAACACTAGTCTTTTTTTGTGTCTACCCTTTGTTTAATATAAAAAAAAAACAATATATAAAGTATCCTTTTTATTAAGGTAATTTTGAAAACCTAAAATGCATAAAATTCTAATAAAATTTAAGATATAAAACTATATGAACAGAAAATTAAATTTCCACGCTTAAACTTCAAAGAAAATAAAGAATTTGGTAGTCATTCACGTGCCATTTTATACTGAAATTCTAAATTTTTGGGCAAAAAACATGGAAAAATTACAGATAATGATAATGTTTTCATCTAATGATGCTTAATAATGCGAACTCTTATTGTATAAAAATGAAGACCGCATATAGAACAAATTGTCTATGCTATTAATTTTAATGATAATTTTTGGAATTTGCAGAAAATTTTGAATATACCCGAGTAATATTATGATAAAAAAATATGTTTCACGAGAAAAAAAAGGTCATCATAGAGAAGATTTATGTTAATAGTGAGAAAATTTTTTCATTGTTATAGAGTAAATATTTTGGAACTGATTTTTATGGCAATTTGGGAAAATTTGTTTGCATAAATAAATGGTTAGTGTTCGTTTCTTTGAAGGTTTGTTTGAAATAGGTATACATATATAAACTTTATGAAATGAAGGTTTCTATAATGTGAACAAAAATTACAGGATCACAAATACAAATTATATTTTAGTTTGACCTTCAATAATATTGCTTCATTTAAGAAATAGTTAAGATCGAAAACATTAAAGAGACATTTAATTCCCAGAAACCAATAAGGTAAATTTAAATATTTTTATGGTCATTTTCCTTCTTGTCTTTTCATCTATACTCTTTTCCACGTTATTTACTTTTTGGAATTTCTTTTTCAAATTTTTGTCCTTTATAGGTATTCAGTCTTATTCATACCAAATTACTTATAAAATCGATATCATTATATCGATGCCTATACACAAAAACCCGCCCAATATACGAATCTTTTCATATTATTATATTTAAAATTTCTGAAAATTATGACCGTAAATTGCCAATTCCATTGAAAAGCTCTCAATTGAAAAACAAAAGTGCTGCCTATTTTTTAGTAACTCAGAATTTAATTTTAGTTTCATAAATATTCTAATTATCATTACCAAGTATTTGTACTTTTATAAACTCTAAATTTTGAATTTAAGCCAAAAATTTATTTATTTATTATTAAGAAAAACTGAACTTTTGTATATTTTTCTTTAATTAAAATTTTAAATTTCATTCGTTACTGTAAGACATAAACTAACAAAAACTTTTTGTTGTACAAACACCAACAGTGTCTTTCGAGTTCCTCCTTGATTTAAATCAAAACAAAGTCCTTAAATAAATACACCTAGGAAGATAATGTACAAGGACATACATAGCAAGGATATTTTTAGTTAAAAGAAAAATAATTATTATTTATACTCTGCACTTACCACTAAAATAGTTGCTATCTGAGTAACCAAATTTTCCGGCAACTCGACCTGCAGGCATCCTGTTTCTGTTTTTGTTATTTTTGTTTTTTATTAATTATATATTCTCTTTAAATTTTTACTTTTTCACTTGAATTATTTTCTATGATTTTCTTTTTGTTTTCCGTTTAGTTTTTCCTTTCGTTACTTTTCAATCATGAGGAAAATGCATTCAAACTCAAATTTTTTAGTGTTCCAAGTGAGAAATCCTTGTAACCTTTTTTGAGTTTAGTGAATAGTTGAATTAGTACGCAAAATATAGAGGTACTATAATATCGTTGCAAATCTTTAAAAAGTTACTTTGTTGTTGTTGAAATTTAGTTGCTGTAAAATTTAATCTGAAAAGGAAAAAAAAGATTGCTATTAAAATTATTTAATGATTTTCTTTTTATACCCTGCACTTCGTGAAGGGTATATTAACTTTGGTATGGAGTTTGTAACTACTTAAAGGAGTCATCTGCTGTATGGACATATATATATAATATATTCTGGCTCAGCGTAAAATTCTGCGTCGATTTAGACATGTCCGTCCGTCCGTCCATCCGATCGCACGATAACTCAAAAACGAATAATGCAATCTACACCAAACTTTCACAAGTTTTTTCTTTTGTGCCAAGGACGAACCCTATTGTTATTGGACTAATTCGGACAACGGGTTCGTGTAGCTGCCATACAACTCAAAGAGTTTATTTTAAATATTTCAAAAACTAATAAAGCTATAAATATAAAATTTTGTACACATGTGTCCAATTATATTCTACACATGTTCTAAAAATTATAATGGGATAGCTGCACCGGTTCGGGTGGCTGCCATACAACTCCAACAGTAAATTTTTTATATTCGGAAAAATAATAAAGTCAAATACAAAAATAGCCTCTTTTTTTTACTACTTCAGAATGAATGTTCTTAAACATGAGGCTGTTAAATGTGTTCTAAATATCAAATATAACTATTTTAATTTCAAATATGCTCATAACTTAAGTACCAATTTATTCAAGATCCATTATCCAATTATAGAAATAAATTAGAATAAATGAAATTTTTTAATCAAATTCTAATTTTCAATTAGAAATAAATGAAATTTTTTAAAATCCGTGACTATTTAAAATCAATGACTTTAATGTGTAAAACCATTTAAATTTTATTAAACAAAACAAGAAGTTTTCGCACTATGAAACTTCATATAATATTCCTATTCCATCTAGAAATTTAAAAATCGTATATTTATTTTTATAATGATAAAAAGCAACGGGAAACTTTTTTAGTAAAATTTAATTTTGCGATCATAAAAATTCAAACAGAAAATAATGAAATTTTTTAATAGCTGGAAAAAGCAATATGAAGCATAAGATTATTGAAAACTCGTGTTTGTAAGCAATGTAATTACTCGTTAGGAATTAGAATTAAATTAAACAAGTAGTATATTGTTAATAGGAAATAAACTTCAGTTTCAAGTAGCTTTCATCCAGATATCTGGAACACAATTTATAAAAATTTCATAAAAAAATGGAATTTTTCTGTTTAGAATGCCGAATTTTCAAAAAATTCATAACAAAATGGATTTTATCTGTCTGATATGCAAATTTTGTGTAAAAGTTTTATAAAAAATCGGATTCTTGCCTGGAGCACCTAATCTATAAAAAAACAAATACATTAAAAAGGGACTTTATCCGTCAGGAATTCAGAGTTTATGAAAATTTCATATAAAAGAGGCTCTAATCTTTCAGCTTTGAACTCTAAATATGTCAAAATAAAATGTTAAATTTTACTGATTCGGCATACGAAACACGAAATCCAGATTAGGAATATTAATCATTCTCATATCCTTAAATTATTCCTTAAATATAGATATTGAAATATATATTTTGTTTCTTGTTAAATAAAAACATAAAACTATTATTAGAACAACAAACAACATTTTTCAATATTTATAATATTAAATTTCATTTAGTACAAGATAATAAATGAATTTATTAATATTTTTATAGCAATATTTTCAATTATAGATTTGTTATTTTAAAAAATTTAATATGAATTGTATTTACATAAATTGATAATAATATTTAGCGAAAAAAAAAAATTAATTGCATTTGAAATGTTTTTTTTTATAATTTCGTCGGTTAAAAAGCAGAAAGCACTAAGTGCATTTTTTGAGAATTCGGATTTCATAGATGAATTAAATCAGAATAATATAATTTTTGCTGTGGCAAAAAATTATGCAAATCCAGAATGTAGTTTATAAATCCAGAAATTAAAGAGACCAATCCCATTGCACTAATTGATTAGTTTTACAATTTTACGATTTTTTCAAATTGACTTTACTCAAAACACAGTTTCCTGACTTAATGCTTTCTGCTTTTTAACCGACGATTTATAACAAAAATATCGAATTTAAAAATCTACCACTATATTTTTCCCCATTAAATTTAGTAAAATAATATTTACTCATGCTCCTATTGTTAAAAATCAAAATCTCATTAATTTATTTATAATGTTACTTAATTAAAATAGAGATTTTTACATCTCTATTATCGCAATAATTAATTTAATTTTATTGTCTTATTAAAAATTGACTTTCAGCACAAAATTTTTTGTACAAAAAAATTATTGTTAAATTAATAATGTATAATAAATTATTAATTTATTAATTTAGTCAAAAACAGAATATATTTTATACATGCAACATCATCGTTCTTGAACATCATAAGATTCTTAAAACGAAAATCATGTCAATTAATATTCTAGTTTTCGTATTTACGAGAAAATTACAAATTTAATTAAGGGCCTGATAGTATAACTCGCCATTTTACACGGCAAGTAAGAAGAAAATGAGTAACTTTCTATATATTTGTACAATGTAATTTTCGAGTAAGAAGAGTTATTCGGTATTGCGTACCTCGCTTTTTTTTTAAAATGTATACAAAATTTATTCACCTTATTTTTGAAAGTAAGACGCATTCAGTCGATAATTTGAGAAAAAATGCGAAAATCGAATTGAAAATATGAGTAATCTTATTGAAAAAAATTAACTTTTCATTAGAAAAGCGAAGACTTTCAGATCTGAAAGTGAATAAAAAGTGAGTGTATACACGATTAGGCTGAAAGGATCATTTATTCTCTTAGTAGCCTCATAATAGAATAAAGTGTACTCACGACCTAAATATGAAAATATATTTTTCTAAAAATTTGAAGTTTTTTTTAATTATGAAGGTGTTTAATAATTTTTGGAAAATTGCTAAACCATGGATAATTTATTAAGGATTTTTCAAAAATATGATTAATTATTTTTTTGGAAACACTAAATAAACCTTACGGGAATGAAATATATCATTACTAATTCCAATTATAATAAATTTTATAATATTTTAAATAATAATCCCAAACTTTGACTTTTTTTTGCTACATACAGCATTAAATAACAATATAACAGGCAATATAAAATTAAAATTAAATTAAATTTTAAGGCCCATTTCAAGAATGGCGAATTAACAATCCATAAAATCATAACAAAATTTATGCATTTATTATTCTCGTATTTTAATAAAGCGTTTAGCATTCAAATTCAATATTCAAAGTTTGGAGTATTTTCAAAGCATTTGTAGACTTAAAGCAATACTATTAACATACAACGATTTTCGCAATCTATAGTGAGTAAAATAAATTCATACTCTATATAAAATTAATCACGCTCCGATAATTCATGAGTATATATACATATATATTCATTAATAACTTTGTTTTATAATAAATATGCCTATAGGATATCAATAACAAGTTAAAAAAAATTTTAAATCAAAAATTTTTATATATACAGGGTGATTCAGAAAGATATACAATTACATATACCATTGATTAGAGGGTCGAAAATGGGTAAAACTTTTGTGCCGAACTAGGTGCGAAATCTCAAGGGTTTCCGAGATAAAAGGATTTTAACGAATTTTCATGAAATTTCTACTTATCCAAGCATTTTTGATTATAACTTCTATTAAGAAAAAGATAGGAACTTCAAACAAACAGTTTCTGAAAGGGCTTCTAAAGGGCTTAAAATAGATATTCTGCTTGATTCTGTATATGCACCTTCGGAATACGAAGCCTACGAACTTTAATGAAAATCAAATTTTTTCAGTTTTTTCAAATAGAACTACGCGATAGCTTCGTAAGAAATTTTTGTTAATAGAATTTTGCACAGCTGCTTAAGCTTTAATTTAATTCCTCAAACATTAAAAAATTTTTATGTTACAGAAGAGAAAGAAATGTAACAATTAATAATAAAATTGAAACGAAATTTTATACAAAATTTTAAATTGAAAAGCAAAAATTGATTTTAAAAAATTTCAAGTTTTTGAAAATAAAAACTAGAATTTTTTATTATGAAAAACAAAAAGAAAATCTAGTAATCAAAAAATTTTTTCCGAAACTTTTCTTGGTAAGGAAAATTGATAGGTTTTTTATTTTTGCCAATTTTTGTAAGAAATGGTACCTATATGGTTTGAAATTTTTAAATGCATTTTTCTCAGATTGGGTGCAATTTAAAAATTTGAAAAAAATATTTTCGAAATCTAGGCACCATTTAGCATCTGAAATTATTAAAATTATCCAGCTGGAGCGAATTTTTAAGGGCATGCCACATTTTGACGTTTATTTTATTTGAAAAAAAAAATTTTTTAAATAGGAAAATTTTATTTTATTTTTGAACAAAATGGAGTTTGTAAATGATATGATATTAAAATTATGATATTAATAAATAATTAATAAATAATTCAATGCAATTAATAAATTTTAAACCTGTTTCTACAAAAACTAAAATTGGTGTACGGTTGTTGCAAAAAAAAGAGATTTGAAAGGAGAAAAACATAAAATTTTGCCGAATTAGGTGAATTTCATAAGAAAATGAAAAATTTCGTGTTTGTTTTGAGAAATTTGCAAAATTTTTGGATAAGGAATTCATATTTGTCCAAATTTTTGGATAAAGGAATATTAAAGGGCTTAAATTAAAGCTTAAGCAGTTGGACAAAATTCTATGAAAAAAATTTCAAGGCAAGGATTCATTTTTTTTTTTTAAATTCTTTAAAAAAAAACTGAAAAAATAAAACAACGGAAAAATTTGATTTGCCCTATGGTTCGAATCCTTAGTATTCCAAAGGTACATAAAATACAGAATCAAGCAGCATTTATTTTAAGCCCTTTACTAGGACTTTCAGAAACTGTTCGTTTTTGAATAAAAACATTGAATAAGTAAAAAATTCGTGAAAGTTCGTTAAAATCCCTAGAACTCGGACACCATTGAGATCTGGCACCCAGTTGGGAACAAAAAGATTTTCTAACCAATGGTATATA